GATACATGCATAACTTGTTTGACATTAGAAAGCCCATATGGATGACAAACGTCACAAATAAGTAAAATGTGACGGAGACTTTAGACTCCACCCATTCCTTACTAAGCATAAGAGAACTCATACTGGCAAGACGCCGTATAAATGTATGCAGTGTTAGAAGGCTTTTAGTATTAGCTTCCAGCTTGTTGAATGTCAGATTTGCACTGGTGGATGTTAAATCTCAAAGACTGGGGCAAATGGTTGAGATGTCTACAAAACAAGTAAAAGTGAACCTGGCTTCCAGAGTCTCCCAGCATCCCACAGTCCCTACCCCTTACAGACAGGGTCCTCCTGGATTGATTTCCCCACCCCTGCCCTGAATTTCTCCAGCCCAGGGCCTAGGATGCCCTTCCCCCACCTACTCTTCCCTATCTAATCCAGAAATTTTGATTACCCTGTTCCTTTTGGACTTCCTGGACGCTGCCCCTGGCTCCCCTCTTCCTTCCCCTCCCCTTCTCCTCGCATGACCCAGTCTGGTTCTGTCCAGTCTGGACTCGCCCAGATGTCCCTGACTCTGAATATGCTCTCCCTTTTGTCTACAATAAACTCCCCTCCACTATGCCTAGGCACAGTCGTGTCTTTCCCTTTTCACTTTTTTCATTCAGTGAGAATTTGTATACATATAAAGAGTGTGGGAAGGCTTTGGAGACTATAGAGAGCATGCTCAATATCAGAGAATTCACACAGGCAAAAACTCTGTACATGCAAGTCCTGTGGAAAGGTATTTGGAAATACTTCATCTTTGACTAGACTTTAGAGAATGCATAATGCTGAGGAAGCCTGTAAATGTAAGGATCTGGGAAGCTTTTGAACTTACTCAACATCAGCCAATTCACAGTGGTCAGAAACAGCTCAAATGTGAGAAATGTGGGAAATTCCTTAAACTGACTTCATGCCTTATTTGGCATCATCAAATTCATAACGGTGAGAAACCTTCAGGAGGTGAGGTCTGTGCAAGCATTTAGACATAGCTCAGCCAATAGTGAACATTAGAGAATTCATACTAGAGAGAAACTTTGTGAATGCACATGGGAAAGCCTTCAGACACACTTCATCCTTTACAAAACATCTGAGGAGCCACAGTGGTGAGAAACCCTGTGAAATTACGAATGTGGGGATGCATTTAGTGTGGGCAAGCACCTTCCTTAAGATAGAACATATGTACTGAAGTAAATTGAGTACATTTAGTTTACTTGAGTTAAATGAGCATGTGAAGGCCTTTTATTTCTGGTTTTTACTGATGAAAACCTATACACACAAGAAATGATCGGAGACAGTGTTCGGGCATTTCATTCAGGTGGTCGAGTGTTTGCCTACATATACTAGGCTTAACTATCACAAGTTCTGCATAACCCCAGCATGGTGGCATACATCTGTAGTTCCAGTGCTTGTGAGGTAGGGGGCAGGATGATTAGGAGTTCAAGACCATCTTGGCTATATCATGAGTTGGAGGGCAGCCTGGGCTACATGAGACTCCATTTCTTTAATGAAAAAAGTGAAAGATTCAGGGTCTATTTCTCTTTAAAAATCTGTTAACAGACTTCATGACCACTCTATGTTTAGAAATAAAATTGTTAAATCATAGGCAATAGTTTTCGTTGTTTTTTTTGTCTTGTTTTCTTTTTTCAAGAGAGGGTTTCTTTGTGTAGCCTTGGCTGTCCTGGGACTCACTCTGTAGCCCAATGCTGGCCTCAGACTCACAGAGAACCACTTGCCTCTGCCTCCTAAGTGCTGGATTAAAGGTGTACACCACCACTGCCAGGCTTAATAAATAGTCCAGATACTGGAAAATCTTTCTTTTTCTATTAAGTTCTTACTTCTAATAACAATGGTACTACTGTAAATGGACATTTCCTGTCCTGACCACCTGGTCCCAAATAACTGACTCAGAAGATGAATATGAATTTTAAATGCTTGGTCAATAGCTCAGGCTTATTACTAACTAGCTCTTAAAGTTAACCCATATTTCTTATTTATGCTCTGCCAGGTGACAGTACCTTTATGCATACATAATAAATAAAAATATTTAAAAACAAACAAACAAAAAAGAGCTAATGTGACAAGTCTAAGCTAAGACCAAGCTTTTATAATAAATAATAAGTCTCCGGATCATTATTTGTGAGTTGGTGGCCCAAAGAAAAATCTGACTACTATGGCATCCAGTGTGGAGGCTCGAATATCCAAACACAGGGCCAGAGAAAGCTAAGAAAATTTCTGGATGAGGAGCTGGATGTCTCTTAGGCAGGTGGGTGCTTGGTGGAGTATAAAGACCCAGCTCTTAGCTGGTGCCTGCAGGATGTAGCCAGGTGCCAGCACCATGACCATCACCATGCGCTAACCTGAGCCATGTGGCATCTGATGTATTCACTCATAAGCGGCTTTTAGACATAAAACAAAGAAAATCAACCTACAACTCACAATCTCAGAGAACCTAGACAACGTTGAGGACTCTAAGACAGACATACATGGTTCTGATTTACATGGGAAATAGAAAAAGACAAGATCTCCTGAGTAAATTGGGATCAAGGGGACCATGGGAGATGATTGAAGGGGAGGGGAGAGGAAGTGAGGGGAACAGAGAAAAATGTATAGCTAATAAAAAATAAAAGAAAAATATTTGTCTCACGTGGCCAGAGAACACTGCAGGTGCTTAGTACAGTTATTGCTATTGTAAACAAACATTTCTTCCCCACCTGTCAGCTTCCAAATAACCAACTCAGAGGCTGACTATGAATTATAAATGCTTGTTGATAGCTCAGGCTTGTTACTAGCTAACTCTTACACTTAAATTAACCCATATTTCTTGTCTATGCTTTGCCACGTGGCTCGGCACCTTTTCTCAGTCTGGCAAGCCCATCTTGCTTCTCTGTCTATGGCTGATGACTTTCTTAGACTCTGCCCTTCTTCATCCTAGAATTCCTCCTAGTCTGGCTCTCTCACCTAATCTTATCCTGTCTGGTTATAGGTCAGTCATCTTCTTCATTAAACCAATCAAAGTGACATATATTCACACAAAAGGAATATTCCACAGCATGGTTGAAGAAGGACGCTTTCTTGTGTCCTTTGATCCAGTTTGAACAGTAACTGTCAGCAATTGAGGAAAAGGCAGTTTCTTTGCCCACATGGTTAGCTTTTGCCATAAAGAAACCAACTGACCTCCTGCCTGGCTACCGGCCTATCAACTTTTTAATTAACTAGTGAGAGCAATACATATTCACAGTGAAGAACAGGATTATTCCACAGCAACATACAGAGATATTAACAGAACCAAAAGAACCATTAACTATGTTGACACTTATTTTTTAGGGCAGCTATGTAACTCTTTAGAGGAATGTTTCCAGTACATATTTGTTAGCATTTAACACAAGGGGAAAAAAAAATCTTTTCTCTCCCAACTTCTATGGAAGAAACAAGAATAGATTATGAACTTGGTGGAGTTGTGCATCCCTTTAATCCCATTGGGGAGGCAGAGTCAGGTGAACCTCTGTGAGTTCAAGACCAGCCTAGTCTACAGAGTGAGTTACAGGACTGTCAGTGCTGTGTAATGTTTTCTGGAGACTTCCACTTTCAAAATGTCCAAAAAGTGCTGGGTTACAGTCCCATTGACCTTCATTGAGGAACTCTGGGACCCCATCTCAACAGTCTCAGGAAACATCTAGAACCAGGCCTTAAAGACTCTGATGGTCACATTGATATAGATCTCTACAGCGCCTGCTGGGTGATGGCATCACAGAGTTCAGTGGAAGATCCTGGTCTGGACTCTCTCTGAGGTTCACATGAGGTACTTGTGGAGATGCTCAGTCAAGCTCACGGTCACCTTGGGCATGTCTTGTTGGCAATAAAGGCTGCCTGACTATCAAGATCTCAGCTTCGTCTCCAAGATCCCACCCACTCATGTGAATCAGGAGCTCACTCGGCATGAATGTGCTTTCCGTTCTTGTTAAAAACACTGCTTCCACCAGCCAGGCCTTCAGGAACACTGCTTTCCAACTCATCAGATACTTCGTGTGGAACCAATTGGGCAACTTGCTATGGTCTCTGAGAATCTCAAAGTTCTTTCATGGTGGTGAAGCTGCAGGAATGAACATATGAATTATCTTGGGAGTAACCATACTGCTTGAGCCTGGTTATAGGAAGTCAATGCAACAGCAAGCCCAACTCTCTCTTTCTTTCTCTGTCTCTCCTCTCTCCTCTTATACTACTCCTGTACCCAGAGGCAAGTCTCCCCTCTTCCTTTCCCCCTTTTCCCATTCACTTTCTTCCCCCCGCAAAAAAAAAACCCCTCCCCTGAGCTCTGTTGCATGGTGTCTTTCTCTCGCGCACTGGTTTTTGTAAATTACAACAGCCACTCTCGTGTTTTCCTCGATAAATCTCAAGTGAGGTTTGTTGTGTGGTGAGATTTTGTGGTATCCCTTGACTGGGGACTGCCTGGTAACCTCTTCCTCAGAACCAGATTCTAGGGATGCTGTGAGACTTGTGGACATCATCTGCTTTGACGTGTTCACAGGCACCTCAGTTAGCCGTTTGTCCTGGTTTTCAGACGTAATACTAAGGTTACACATTAAGAAACACCCAACAGGGTTCCACCCCACACCTGCATACTGCTTTTTACATTGTTACACACAGCACAAACCCCATTCACAACCCTAGGAAGTCCGGTTATAAAAAAAAAAAATCACAATTCACAACCTCTTTCTCCTGCCTACTTCGCCTGAACCCAATTTCCAGTCTCAATTCCCACCTGGCGTCAGTTTGTGTGTCTAGAGTTAACACTAGAGTGTTTATGGAGAGCTACTAACTACAAGCCAGAGGCGTGGGAACGCGCGGTAGCTTCTGGGAAATGTAGTTCTGCAATGCACCACGTCACCAAGATGGCTCCCGCCTCCGTTTTTACGAAAGGGTTACGTGTTATTCGGAATCTCGCCCTGCAGGCCGTTTTTACGAGAGGGTTACGTTTAACCAAGAGGGTTACGTGTTATTCGAATCTCGTCCTGCAGGCGCGTAAAGCCTATTCAGTGAGTTTGAGTTGCCCTTATTATACACGATAGCACACCACCGTCCCTCCTGGTAACTGTAAAAGCAGTAGTATTTGAGTCCCGGTCTCTTATTCCCTACCCACCACCTAGATGAGCTGGGAAAAGTTGACTAGATCCCCGAGACTTCTGGGAAATGTAGTTCACAGTCAAAAGAAGGAAATGGAGAAAGATCCGTTAGTTCAGAGCCCTGGTGGGCAGAGACCTCTGGGCGTGCTAGCAGGAGTGCGCAGGCGCAGGCTCCGTGGCTCGCCATCGTCGCCTTTGTCTAATGGTGAGTTTGATTTGGGGATCTGTAGGGCCGTCGTTTTCCTGTGCCCGGTTGAGCCAAAGAAGCTGTAGGGGTGGGTTTGCTGCCCCTGCAAGGGCGAGGATGCCCGAAGGGGTGAGAATGGCTTACTGTGACAGCGGAGCTAAGAACTTGGGCGGATGGGGCCTGGGGAGAGCCAGAAACCGGGGTGGGTTTGCGGGTGGGGCGAGCTTACGTGTGAGGGTGTCCTTTGGTTGGTTTCGAGTTAGAGAGAAACTGGATTCAAGTTAGTGAGAATACACGAGTGGGAATACACTTATCACATTTTAAAAATAACGGGTTGTTCTGGAAAATAGGAAAGGGAAAAAGGTAAATTGAGTGAGTCGTTTTAAAGGTGGTTTTTATAATTATTGTTAAAACAAGTCAGTAGAAAATGAAACCAATGTTCCTTTGAACAATCTTTGTTTTGTAACGAAGATTTCCAAAAACTTGCTATTGGGTGCCTACACATCAGGAGGAATTAACTTAGTACTTGGAGAAACTTTGGTCGAGCTATTTTGAGTAGCCTTTGAGTTTACGGAATAACCCTTAGGAGATACTTTCCACTGGTACACATTCGGGATAGCGTTAGGAAGATTGTCCCACCCTCAGCAGAGAGGTCCAGAAGATATTTAGTACTCAAATACTCAAAAGGGCTAGGCTCTTTGCCAAATTAAAACTCTTAATTTGTCCAGATTTTCCCCATACCAAGTAGCTTTTGTTAAAGTACAGTTTTTCTTCTGCATTTTTAAAAAGTATTTTGTCTTTTTTTTTTTTTTTTTTTGAAACAGGGTCTCTCTCTCTGCATAGCCCTGGTTGTCTTGGAACTCACTTTGTTGTCTAGGCAGATCTCTGCTTCCCAAGTGCTGGGATGAAAGACCTGCACCACCATGCCTTGCACTTCGCAGTTATTGATTTTGAGACAGAGTTTCACTGTGTTGCTTTGCTGTCCTGGAACTAGCTCTGTAAACCAGGCTGGCCTTGAACTCAGACATCTGCCTACTTCTGCCTTCCAAATGCTAGGATTAAAGGCATGTTCCACCACTAGCCGGCTTGTCACACTTTTTTCCAGTTTTTTTCAGACAGGGTTTCTCTGTAACAGTCTTGGATGTTCTGGAACTCGCTCTGTAGACCAGACTGGTCTTGAACTCACAGACATCTACCTGCCTCTACTTCCTTACTGCTGAGGATAAAGGCATGCACCACCATCACCCAGCTTTCGCATTTATTTTAAATGTGTTTTTCTTTTCTTTATTTATTAAAGATTTTATTTTTAAAGAGCTGTGTGTGCACATGTACATGTATGCATGTGTATGTATACAGGAGCATGCAGGGTAGAGGTAGATGCCAGGCATCTTGCTCTCTACCTTATTGTGTGAGCCAGGGTCTCACTAAGTCAGGCTGTCTCACTGAGTGAGTCTCGCTCTCCCACTGGGCCTGGAGCCCATTGACTCAGCCGCCTAGCTGGCCACTAAGCTTTGGGGATCCACTTGTCCCTGCCCCCTCTTTCATCTGCAGATGTAGGCTGCCATGTGTGACTTTTGACGTGGTGCTGGGGCTGTAGACTCAGGGCCTAGTGCCTTTCCTGACCATCTCTCCAGCCCCAACTTGTTCTAAATTATCCTTCTGATGTCACCAAGCCTAGGATTGTGGGGTTTACCTTTTTTTAACCCCTAAGTACTCCCATTTACTGTGGTTTCCTCAGAAACAGATTACAGAGGTCTGTTTTGAAGGAGTCTTTTTCTAATTTTTTTAAACTTTCTTTTTTATATATTTTTTGTGTCTTTCATATCATGCATCTCAATCCTGTTCATCTCCCTGCCCCTTCATATCTGCCCTCTGCCCTTTCAACCCCCTAATAGAATAAAATTTAAGAAATAAAAAGGAAAAAAATCTCATGGAAGCCGCACTGTGACACAGTGAGTCACACAAGTAAACCTGTCGCTCCATATAGCTTTACTTGCAAGTGTTCATTGCAAAGAGTCATTGGTCTGGCTCAAGGCCTCTGATTTTTTCTACACTATCAGTGCTGGGCTCTCACCGGGACTCCTCTTGGAGATCCTGCAGCTTTGGGTCTGGAGGACCGACTTCTTCACGTGCTTCCACAGATAATAGATGAAGTGGATATTGGGGTGGGCCAGCTCATAGTCCTGGTTCTGGGCCTGGGTAGTTGCTGGTTGGTCAACCCACCAGCTGTCCCCTCTCCTCCCCACCAGGGTGAGCTCTCCAGCACTGCCCCAGCTAGTTCACCCTTGAAGCAATGAGCATGGGGCGGGGCCAGTTCTCCTGTTTCCAGGCCCTCAGGGTCAGCTCTCCCACAGCTGGACCACCAGGGCCAGCTCTACTGTGTTGCTCAGGCAAGGTGCAGGGCCACTGTCCTGAGTGCTGCAGCTGGTGAGGGGGAGGGTCGGCTCTCTCGTCTGTCCCATGTGTCGAGGGGTAAAGGGGCCATTTCTCCCTGCCCATGCTCTACATGACAGGTGAGTGGTGGGGACAGCTCTCCCATGCTCACAACTTTGAGGTGGATTCACCCACACCTCCACCAATAGGGCGGGCTCTTTTGTGTTGCCCAGGTGAGGTGCAGGGCCTGCTTTCTCCGGAGCGGTGCAGCTGGTAAGGGCCAGGGCCAGCTTTCCTACCCACCTCAGGCATAGAGGGTGGGAGGTGGGGCATCTCTTTCCCGCCCATGCCATTATATGGCAGATGAGGGGCAGGGCCAGATCTCCCATGCTCCAGGTCTCAGGGCCGGCTCATCCATGCCTACACTCAGGGTCAATCTATTGTATGGGTATAACTTTTTTCTTTCTTTCCTTCCTTCTTTCTTTCTTTCCCTGCCACCCAGCTCCCAAATAGATACATGGAAACTTATGAATGCCTGGCCTTAGCTTGGCTTCTTTCTAGCCAGCTTTTCTTAACTGAGATTATCCCATCTACCTTTTGCCTCTAGGCCTTTACCTTTCTCTATTCTTTGTCTTTCTTCCCACTTACTCTGTGGCTGGTTGTGTCCTAGGTGGCTGGCCCTTGCCATCCTCCTCCCCTTTTCCTTTTCTCTCTCCTCCTCCTCATCTACTTCTATTCAGTCTCTCTGCCTGCCAGCCCTGCCCCTTTCTCTCTTCTGTCCAGCTATTGGCTGTTCAGCTTCTTATTAGACCAGTCAGGTGTTTTAGGCAGGCAAAGTAACACAGCTTCACAGAGTTAAACAAATGTAGCATAAAATAATACAACGCATCTTTGCATCATTAAGTAAATGTTCCATAGCATAAATGGATGTAACATATCTTAAACTAATATTCCACAACATACGGGTTTTTGCCTGCATGTATGTGTATGTATTATATGCATACAGTACCCACAGAGGCCAGAAGAGGATATTGAATCTTATAGACCTGGAGTTACTGATGGTTTGTGAGCTGTCCTGTGGGTGCTGGGAACTGAACCTGGGTCTTCCAAAAGAGCAGCCATTGTTCTTAACTGCTGAGCCATCTTTCAAGCCCCCTTTCTTTTTTGGGCTCAAGATAGGGTTTCACTATGTAGTTTTGGCTGTCTGGAACTCACTTTGTAGACCAGGCTGGCCTCAAATTTATAGAAATGTGCCTGCCTCTGACTCCTAATTAAAAGTGTGTGCTACTACTCCCAGCTCCTCTTTAACTTTTTAAAGACAGGTTTTCATGTATCACAGGCTGGCCTTGAACTCGCAGAGATCCACTAGCCTCTGCCTCCAAGTGCTGGTATTAAAGTTGTGCGCCACCACTGCCTGGCTCCTTCCATCTACTTTTCACTTTACTTATTAAGGCATTTTCTCTCAGCCACACACAGCGCACATGGCTAGTGCTACTAGCCAACTTGCTCTCGGGGTTCCTTCTCTGCCCTCTGACATATGGATCCTAGGGAGCCAAACACCTGTCTTCATGCTTGCTGTTACAAATACTTTAATCACTGAGCCATTTCTCTGACCTTCTACTTACTTTTTTGAGACAGGTGGCCAAGTCTTTCCTCAAACTCCATCTTCGTGCCTCGATTTCCAGGTTGTTAGTACTGGAAACACACTACCACTCCCGCCTTAAACCTGTTGCAGGGAAAAAGATAAGACAACAGTTTGCCTTCAGTTGGGAGCAAGGCCACCTGTGACACCTGCCCAGACATCGTGGTCAGATGGCAATTGGCAACCTCAGAAAAGTCGGTGTCTTAGTTTCTCTGTATAACTTAAATTCTGAAAATGAAATACTTTGTGTTACCCACGTCCGAAGTACATTTTGGTTTTAAGCAGAATTTTGGGTTTGTCCTGAATGCAAAGTGCAAATGCTCTTTCCCTTTGCTTGTGGGCATGAATGCACCGAGGCTCCTAGACTCACGGTACTTGGTTGTTTTCGCAGGCCATCGGGAGCAGAAGTTTGCCTGCCCTGCAAACCTCTCCTGAGCTCTGAGGCCTCAACCTGACTCACAGCTGCTGCTTTGATTTCCAGAGATAGTATCTGCACCCTGAAGCAACAGTGGGTGGTTGAGAAGTTAAGTCTGCAGGTGAGTGGAAGCCTTGTATAATATTCAGTGTCCTGGGTGCAGTGAGGCTTTGCAACTGCCTATGGGTTTTTAGTTCTATTTTTTTTTTCAATCAGCTCAGCCCCATTTGGAGGGATGATTGCTGAAAATCCTTTAGACAGGTCAGTGATCCAGGCGGTCCAGACTCTGCTTTCCTTTCCTCACCCTCTATAGGATTGGTTGCTCTTCTAACTTCTCTGCTGCATGCCTGCCCCCCTCCTTCATTTCCAGGCCTAATTTTAATGGCTGCTCCGGTACCTCCAGCTCTCGTCTCCATAGGCACCTGCACTCGTGTGCACACCGCACACCAACACGTTTAAGACAACAACGTGTCTTAACAACAAGCCCTTCAGAGCATGCAGATATTTTCCTTGTAACTCCCTGACCAACTCCGCGTGACAGCTATTTGCATAGCGTTGTGTAGCCTACAAAGGATTTAACTGTACAAGAGGACATGCGTAGATTGTCTGTAGAGATGCCCTGTGATGCCCAGGGATGACTCTAAACAGCTGTTTTTGCTCAGTCTTTCCTCACCCTGAACTACTCCACATTGACAAATCAGCAACCACATAAGTTACTTTTTATTGTTGTTGAGACAGGGCTTCAATATGTATCTCTTGCTGTCCTTGAACTTGCTGTATAGCTCAGGCTAGCCTCTGACTCACAGAGATCTGTCTACCTTTGCCTCTTGAGTGCTGGGGTTAAGGATGTATGTTATCACATCTGGCCACTTAAAACTTAATGTATCTACTGGTGTTTTTTATGTTTATTAAAACAATTTTGCCTTTTTTTTTTTTTTTTTTGAGACAGGGTTTTGCTATGTAACCCTGCCTGTCCTGGAACTAGCTCTTGTAGACTAGGTTGGCCTCAAACTCACAGAGATCCACCTGCCACTGCCTCCCAAGCTGGTATTAAAGGCACGTGCCAACACCACCCAGCCCTATTTTGCCTCTTCTGGATTGCTGTGTTTCAGCTATTATCAGCTTGCTAATGTGTAAGATGGAGAAATGTGCCCATGATTCTGCTTCCCAGTACAAGTTATATCACTTACTACTGTTAGGACCTGTTTTTTTATGTGTATGTGTCTGATATATGTATTTGCACCCTTTGTGCCAGTGAGACGGCTTCATGGGTAAGTGGCCTGAGTTGGTCTCTGCAACCACGTGGCAGGAAGAACTGACGCCTACAAGTTGTCCTCTGACTCCCACACACGCTGTGCATGTGCACCAGCTCAGCACACAGCACAACATGAGTATGTGCCTCCTTGTTCCTTCCTTTTTACTTTCACGAACAGTTTTGCAGTAACGTGCTTTATCTAGCATGGCTCTCTTTGAATAGGATTTCTCTGTATTGGATGAGCCTGTTCTTGTGTTGAGCACGTGCAGAATTTCGGAAAGCTTTCTTTATTCTGTTCCGTTGTTTCTCGGTTGTTTTCCATAATGTTTTCTATAACTCATTTGATACTTTTCAGACCTCCTAGATTTTAGTACTGATGTACTAATTTTCCATCCATTACTCTAGATCCCTTGGTTCCTTCCACCCTTCCTACTTGTTTCTTGCTTTTTTTGTGTGTTAATCTGTTAAATCTTTTTGAAAAATATTAATTTTATTTATTATTGTTAGTGTGTGTGTGTATACAGGCGTACTTCTATGGTATGTATGGAGGTCAGAACACAAGCCTTTGGAGTCTTCTTCCACAGGGCTCAAACTCTAGATGTCAAGCTTGAGCATCAAGCAGTTTATCAGTCAATCTCATTTGGCCCTAATTTATTACAATCTTAAACATACACGGCATTGGTTTTTCTTTTAACTTTTTATAATATTAGCTATAGAGTTTATTTGTTTATCTTCAGTGGAAGGGGTCTATCTTAGTCAGTGTTCTCTTGTGTGAAGAGGCATCATGATCAAGGCAACTCTGTAAAAGAAAGAGTGCAGTTGTGGGCTTGCTTACAGCGTCAGAGGGCTAGTCCGTCATTCCCTTGTAAAGGCCAGATGGAGGCACGGTGGTCTTCATGCTGCTGTAGCAGTAGCTGAGAGCTGCGTCCTGTCCCAATCAGAGCGAACACTGGGCTTGCTGTGGGGCGTTTGAAACCTCAAAGTCCACTCCCAGTCACACGCCTCCACCAACAAGGCCACACCTCCTAATCCTTCTCAAACAGTGCTGCTCCCTGACTGACTAAGCATTCAAATTTATGGGCCTATGAGGGCCACTCCCATTCCAGCCACCACGGGATTAAACCCAGGGTTCCTTCAGTTTGGAATCTTCAGTTGCCAAAGTGCTGAGAATACTTTTTCTTGATAATTACCTTCTAGGTCCTTCCACTGATAAGAGCTGTATTATGGGAGTAGGGATGTAGCTCAGTTTCTGGGTTCCTTGCTTAGCATGGACCTTTGAAGTCCTGCCCTTTGGTTCCCAGCCGTGTAAATCATGCAGATTGGCACATGCCTGGCACAGGCAGGAGGAGAGGAAGCTGTCAGTCATCCTCAGCTACATGATGATTTTGGGGCCGTCCTAGTTTACATGAGACCCTCAAAAAGAAACGTGTCAGCTGTTAAGAGCATGTGTTGCTCGTTCATGGAACCCAAGTTCAGTTCTTAGCACCCTCACTGGGTGGCTCACAAATCCTATAACTACCTTCCGGGGATTTGATGCTCCTGACCTCCAAAGGTACCAGCACTCATGTACTCATATGTACCCCACATACACAGATACATAAACAAAAATTAAGTCTTTAAAAAAAACTGAGTGAATAAGAATAAATGGGGGTATCAACTATTCATTTATATTCATAAATATCTACTTTTCTCAAATATAGAATTCTAGTTATAATATTTGACAGGAGGGTCAGTCTGTAGTCCAGGCTCCCCGGAGTTAGCTCACACTAACTTTGGACATGACTGGCTTTTAAACTTGAAGCACTCCTTCCGCCCTTGTCTCCCATTGCTGAGGCTGCATATGTGTCTGTGTAATCTTTTGGTTGAGATTTGTCTCAGACTGATTTTGTCTCTGCCTGACACCTTATTTGCAGTCTTTCTAGTCAGGCTGGTTCAGTGCTTTCATTTCCCAGAGGCTCTTTGTCCTCTGGTGTTTAGTGTTCGTCCCTCCACGCCCTTAGCCCTTTTTGTTACTATTTTAGTGGGGTTTCAAGAAAACACAGAGAAAAATGCATTTAAAAAATATTGTTGGGCTGGAGAGATGGCTCAGTGGTTAAGAGCACTGGCTGCTCTTCCAGAGGTCCTGAGTTCAATTCCCAGCAACCACATGGTGGCTCACAACCATCTGTAATAAGACCTGGCACCCTCCTCTAGCATGTGGGCATACATGGAGGCAGAATGTTATATACATAATAAATAAATCTTTAAAAAAAATATTGTTAGCTGGGAATGGTGGTGCACGCCTTTAATCCCAGCACTCAGGAGGCAGAGGCAGGCGGATCTCTGTGCATTTAGAGGCCAGCCTGGTCTACAAACCGAGTTCCAGGACAGCCAGGATTGTTATACAGAGAAATCGTAACTTGAAAAACAAAACAATATCTTTATTTATTACACGTTATATGTATATTTATTATATATATTGTTTATTTTTCACCCTGTCATCGTATGCACTGTCAGTCTTAAGTGTTCGTCCTGGTGCTTGCCTAGGTTTTTAATGTTTTCTCTTATTTTACTTATTGGTGATGTGTGCAAGGTATATTGAAAAACAGTTAAAACTGCAGATATCTGGAAATGTTACTGTATTTCTGCTTTCATATGAAAAGACTAGACTTTAATAGTTTAGGTTTTTGGGTTTTAGTTAGTTTTTTGCCTTTTATCCTCCCTCCCTCCCCTTTCCTTCTTTCCTTTCCTCTTCTTTCCTTCTCTCTCTCTCTCTCTCTCTCTCTCTCTCTCTCTCTCTCTCTCTCTCCTTCCTTTTCTTTCTTTCTTCCTTCCTTTCCTTTTTTTTCCGAGACAGCCCTGTCTCATCCTGGAACTCACACTGGAGACTAAGCTGGCCTCAAATTCAGAGATCTGCCTGCCTCTGCCTCCCAAGTGCTGGGATTAATGACATGTGCCACCACTTTCTGAGTATTAGCCTTGTGTTTAAGGAAGAGTCTTATCTGTAGCCAGGCTGACCTGGAATTCACTATCTAACCCATGTTGGTCCTAACTGTCTGTGTCCCAAGTTCTGGGTTATGTGACCTACCGTATGTGACTTAAATAGTTTTTTGTAATAGCACATCTCTGCAGTTTTATTAGTAAAAATGGGAGAATTCACAGTTTGTTAAGGATGTTAATGATAAGGTAAATTATTGGATACTTACTACATTCTAGACACCAACATTTTTACTCTTGTTAATTCTTTTAGTAACTTTTTGTTGTTGTCTTTTAGAAGCAGCATTTGATGTTTCTACACAGAGAAGGACACAGGGTGAAAGACTTGCCAGTTAAGTCTCATCTTTCTCTATAAAAATAGACTAAAATTTTTTTGGAAGACCTGGGATACAAATTATTTTCCTCTGGGCACAGATATTGCATGTGGGGCTGAGCTGAAGAAAATGTGAACTGTAGTTTACCCACATTCGTAATTTACTTGTGCAAGTGAGAGCAACTGTGAGAAAGAGCACTAACATAAAGGCGGTGCTGCATTTCTGCCCTTGTCACCCACCTCAGACCACTCACCTAAAAAGTCTCTCGTTATATATCCAGCTTCACTAGATACACAAGTATCTAGTGAATGTGGAAAAGCTTTCATCCTATCTCAGTAGATGCTCGGAGAAAACCGTTGTGTGTAACAGAATGTTGGAAAGTCTTCATCCTGAGTCAGAGCTTCTGCATGATGAACTTGATCCTGGAGAGAAACTTTATGAATGTAATGAATGTAGAAAAACCTTTAACCTAAAACAAAGCTTTGTAGAGCATAAGAAAATGCACAGTGGAGAGAACACACATGAATGTACAGAATGTGGCAAAGCGTTTTCTCGAGTCTCATCACTTACTCTACATTTGAGAAGTCATGCACGGAGGAAATCATATAAATGTGGAAAAGCCTTCAGCCAGAGAGGAAACCTCGCTTCTCCTCAGAAGCAACATGCTGAAGAGAACCCCTATGACTGCGAGAAGACTTCCATTCAGATGACAGCCCCCCTCAGAAGTCAGAGAAGCACGGGGAATAAACCATTTGCGTGTAAGGAATGTGGGAAAGCTTTCAATGGCAAAGCATATCTCAAAGAACATGAGAAAATTCATACGGGAGAGAAGCCATTTGAATGTAATCAGTGTGGAAGAGCCTTCAGCCAGAAGCAGTACCTCCTTAAACATCAGAACATCCATAGTGGAAAGAAACCTTTTAAATGTAATGAGTGTGGTAAGGCTTTTAGCCAGAAAGAGAACCTCATTATCCACCAGAGAATCCACACTGGAGAGAAGCCCTATGAATGTAAAGGGTGTGGGAAGGCCTTCATTCAGAAGTCAAGCCTCATTAGACACCAGAGAAGTCACACTGGAGAGAAACCTTACACATGCAAAGAGTGTGGGAAAGCTTTCAGTGGCAAATCCAACCTCACTGAGCATGAGAAAATTCATATCGGAGAGAAGCCCTACAAATGTAACGAGTGTGGGACGATTTTCCGGCAAAAGCAGTATCTCATCAAACATCACAACATCCATACGGGTGAAAAACCCTACGAATGTAATAAGTGCGGAAAAGCCTTTTCTCGGATTACGTCACTCATAGTACACGTGAGAATTCATACAGGTGATAAACCCTATGAATGTAAAATCTGTGGGAAAGCCTTCTGTCAGAGTTCATCTCTCACAGTGCATATGAGGAGCCACACGGGTGAGAAGCCCTACGGCTGTAATGAGTGTGGGAAGGCCTTTTCTCAGTTCTCAACTCTTGCTTTACACATGAGAATCCATACTGGTGAAAAACCGTACCAGTGTAGTGAGTGTGGGAAGGCTTTCAGCCAGAAGTCACACCACATTAGACACCAGAGAATTCATATTCATTAAAGCTCGATAAATGCCTTAGATTTAGGAATGCTTGAGCAGAATATATGGTTGGTAATATATCAAAAGATTTATCTTACATTAAAGTTACACAAATGTAGGAAATCCTTCTATAGTGACTCAAAACTTAAATGTAAAGATATTTAATAAGATGTATCACAGTATTATATACTTCACAGGCTCTCACAATAAAAGTTACTAGTATAATTTTTTGTTGTTTTCTTTCTCTGTAGCTTTGGAGCCTGTCCTGGAACTCACTTGATGGTAGACCAGGCAGGCCTCGAATTCACAGAGATCCATCTGTCTCTGCTTCCCAAGCGCTGGGATTAAAGTTGTGTACCACCACCACCCAGCTAAGTGCTATAATTTTAATATCCTTTTCAATGAACTTAGAGTCCAGTGATTCCAAGTATTATAGTCTCAAAGTTTATCAAATATATTAAGATAATATGAGCAATATAAGTTTTGAAATTAAGAGGTAAAAATATTTTTGACATATGCTTTTCTATATGGGTAATTTGTAAAAACCACTTTTCAAAGAAGGCATTTTGGGACAGGGTCTCTCTGTGTAGATAGCCCAGGGTGACCTTAAACTCACTACACAGCCCAAGTTGGCCTCAAGTTTCTGGTGATTTGGTTACTTAGCCTCCCAGTACTGTAATTACAGATATCCATCACCATGCCAACTCAAGTCTTTGTTGATAGAAGTGTATAAAGTTGAGGCCATGACAGAATATTGAACCTAGAAATATGAATGAATTCATGAATGATATGTATTTGATTCTGGCAGTATACCAGATCAATACAAAAATCATGGATGACTTAAAAAATAATCTCAGGATAATCAACTTTTGTGTGGGAAAATAGTAGATCTCCGAAGTCTTCATCCTTATTAAAGTGTTTCTTAGGATCCAGTGTCTTTGCAGAAAAGAAAGCCTTGTTTAAGAACTTTCTAAGTGGATGATTTCTGATACTTGAGTAGGAAAGAAATTCAGGTGTTGTTCTTGAGCATTTATACTTATTATCAAGAAACTGATGCTCGTGTAGGGAGCTGTGCACCAGTCAGTCTGTTCATCC